CTCGCAAGCTATAATTTAGAAACATTAACTTAATTTTGACACTATTTGAAATATGCGTAACAAAAACTTGCCATTTCTCACTGTCGTTACACAATTGCATTGTTGACGATCAAAATGGAAATCCTAATCTGTAGTTGCTTAGTCTGAGATTCCTAAAAGACAAGGTATTATCAGCTCTAGGTTTACACACGCGTGGAGAAAGCGATATTGCGGAATTAAAACAAACTTCGAGAATAACACGGCCATCACATAAGATGCGCCTTCAACTTTCAAACGATTATCAATTGCATGCCGAAGAATTTACACTGCCTACGCTGGTGTCGTCGTGGAATTTATGGCGATTTCGAACGATCTAGATTCTAATAATACAGGAAACCGTCAAATCTCTGTAATTAGTTACAATAAATTTTCTTCCTATGTGGGTAAAAAATTTTGGCCAACAACCATGTAATTTGTGACACTTTTCTTTTATTATATCTTTTCACCCGGTACTATGCATCAAGAAAAATCGAGTAAAATCGATAACGAGGAAGTAATTTAAAGTAGGTGGTTTTGTAATATCTAATTGTACGAAATAATTACAGTTGCTTGCTTGCAACTTATTCTTTAATAACGTTTCGGAAAAAAGTTTCCGCCATTTGAAAGAAATTTCAAGAAAATAAAAACATCTATTCAGGTACAACCGGTGTTTTTGCAATCTCTACTTGAAATTTATTTTAAATGATAAACTACTTTACTAAATATTTTTAGTTTTGTATGTAGAGATAACAATAAAATGTTACATCCGGATTTTTGTGTTCTAGAAAAATAGTATTGCGCGTTTACACTGAATGAACACAAAATGTGCCTAAACTTGGCAAAAACTGGGACACGGTCTATACATATTGTACAATAGTTTGTTACTATTAAAGTGTTAAGAAATATAACCTTTAATGCTTTGAAGCAGTTGTTTTAGAACTTCCAGTGCTTTCAGGTCGATGTCATGCACAAAGTAATGCTTAACAAAAGATGAAGGTTTTAGAAAATAAACAATAGGTGAACAGAAGTAATAGGTGTGTAAAGAGGTTTATGATTCCGGCTGCAATTATCTGCGGAGACAATTTATTGTTCGAGATTAAAGTTGACAGATATTACTGTATAATGTTTACGTTGTCGTGTTTAGTACTTGACATCATACATAGAGTTGTATTATTTTCTCTCTTTACTTAATTTATTCTCTATTTATTATTTATTTAAATTAACTTTGAATCTTTTAATAATTACCGATTTTTCTATTTTCCTTGGCTTTTCTTATATCTGCTACATATTAACAAAACGATTTTTTTATTAAATGCGAGTAACTCTTTATAGTATCTCTTCCGCTTCCTGAGTTTTTTCTTGTAGCTGTTCTCGGGCCTAATAATAAGGAAGAAAAATAATGTTAATATATCTTTATTAATTTTATATTATACATAATTAATTAAGCTAACGAATTATATTTTTATCTTCTTCAACAAATGTTCAACTGTTCGTTACGACTACCTGGTAACTTCAAGCCAAGTTATTTGAGTCAGGTTAAATCAGATCAAGTTAGGTAAGGTCAGGTTAGGCTAGGTCCGGTCTGGTCAAGTCAGATCGACTCAGGTCAGTTTAAATATAAACTAATTTACTAGAAAAGAACTCCTTATTTGAACGAATACTAAGCAGAAAAAGATGCCTTTCAAACAGAGGTTTTGTAAATAAAGTTAGTACAACAATAATAACAAACCACATTCATTATTTAAGCAGTTAGTGATCTATTGAAGTCCCAATTTCTTGCTGGCTTGCGTTTTATTTTACCATTCTGCTCGAAATAATTGCTTGAGAAAACCACAGAAATATATTTATAAAAGCAAAGTAAATGGTGCACAGTAAATGTTTCACAGCTTGAATAATACGAAAATGAAGAGTTTCATTTGCATATCTGTGTCTGTTTTCTATTGTCTGTAACCTGTTTGCTACTGTCTTTATTTCAGATTTAATATTTTGGTGTAAAATTTTCTGTATTTCGTTTTCACTTTCCATAATCATTCGAATTTTAGTTTTTAAGAAATAAATGATATAATAAAGGTGTCATATAAAAATATCTCAGGGGCATAAACTTTACTTTCTGAACGTAAGCTAAGGAAGTATTGTAATAGGGTTCTGGGGCGAAGACTACCCTCATGTTTTCTCGACGAGTACGAAAAAATAGGTCTGCCGTTTCCGTATGTCTGTCTGTGTCAATTTTTATTATACAAATAATCTCTGAAACTACAATACCGATTGTTTTCAAATTTTATGTGCATGTTAGGAGTATTGTGATGGTAAAATAAAGCTAACCGAAATTTGTCCCACCAAGAATAGGATGACGTCATCACCACAATTTACGATAGTAAATGTTATTTAAATTTTATAAAATAAAGTAATCCGTGTTAAGTTTTTACCCTAAATTTTTGGGAAAAAAAAATCAAAATTGCGTAACAATCTACATTCTACAATTTAACTTTTAAAGTGCCAAACCGAATGCTTTGAAATCTTGCAAAGGTTTTAAGTTCATAGAAAGCAGGGTAAATCGTTCATCAAAATTTATTCGTTGATAGCGTCCTTAAAAAATTATGACCTCATCTTACAATTTTTCCGAATAAATTTTCGTTAAATTTTTATACAAAAACCTACTCCGGCAGGTGTAATTTATACATCCGTATTAAGTTTTTAAACTGGGTATCCAGATTTTTGGAAAAAAAATCAAATTTGTAAAACAACATTTTACAATTTTGCCAAATGCAGATATTTTTCAAATTTATGACATTCAGTTTAAAAAAAAAAAAGAATATAGTTAATTAATTAATTAATTAATTAATTAATTAGCCCTTTCTGTGTTAGGGGGACAAAATTGTTTGTTACCTGAACGTTCTAATAATCGGATTATTTCGAAATATAAATATAAACAGTCGAAATTACGCATGTACCGAGAAATTGAGAATACATCTTTTTCCTGTTGGTTACCTGTTTTAAATACATATGTTTCATATTGTCTGCACTTGTGCAGAACGCGGCCTTGCGGCAAATTTTATAATTTGTTGGCATTTGTTGGAATAACCTTCGACCAATTTTTTACTGTCTCAACTAAAAAAAAATATGTTACAATACTAAAATATACGATATGTCTCCGAACTGAGTTTACAAGAGGAAGATAATTGTTCTAAAGGTATTTAGACAGAACTTCGTCCCCACCTGAAGTCAAACATTTAAACAAATTTAATATTTTAGAAATTAAATGAATGACGAGGATGGGATTCGAACTCACGCACGCAAATTTCAAGCTGCTCAAATTAAACGCCTCAAATCACCTCCTCCGACCTGCTTGACTTGTACGTGCGCGAGATATCGAGTACGCAGCAAATATTGCACAAACACATTCGTAAAATAATTGTGATTGAAAATTATGGGCGGATTCATAAACCACAAGTTTAGGAGTATCTTGTTTATAAAACTCAAGTAGTATTTGCTAAGCAAATTGTTGACGTGACGTCATCAAATTGAGGGCGGCGATAAATAGACAGACAATCGCTTCGGTAGTTTCGAAGATTATCTGACAGACCATTCTGAATTAAATAAAATTCTGCATTAAAATTACAATATTACAAACATGTTAAATTATCTGGAAAGAATTGATTTGTTTTAAAAAAATGTACATTATTTAAGAGTTTTTATAGGTAAAATAATTGTTCTGGATAAAAAGTCAAGGCGAATTCATAAATCACAAGTGCATGAGTATGTAATTTTATAAAATTTAAATGGCGTTACTAAAAAAAATTGGTCGGACATTCTTAAATTTATAGTCCAGATGATCAAACAAATTAATTTTGGTTAGCGTTTTACCAACTGCACGATATTCTCAACATACGTATAAAATCTGACAACAATCGGTCTGTTAGTTGTGGAGGCAGACACAGACAGACAAAATCACGAGACCTACTTTTTTGTACTTTAAGGGTCATGAAACGTCGAGAAAACATGAACATGGACATCCACATGGCTCATTTTGTACACATGTTTTTCAAGTTGTGAAATTAGTAGATAACAATTTAAGGGCCAGCTTATGGAATATTTTAATTGAGATTAAGTTAATTCCGCATTTAATGAGACGTTTAGCGACATCTGATTGGAGTAGATTCGGTCACGTGTTGTCATTTTAATGCCGCATTAAGAATTTAATCGCAATCAAATATTTAACTCAGCTTTCGTAAACCAGCTCTAGGAGTTGTAGTTTAGTTAGACTATATTTATGTTGCAGAATTTCTCTAAGATTATCGCCAATTGATGAAACCACTGGCAAATTAATGAAGGTACAGTGAAAATACTCCCAATAATGGGAATTCTACTTACATAACTGGAATTAGTGTTGGTTGGAATTATTGCAACAACTGGAAAATGAAATTATCGTAATTTTGAAAGTTTGCGCCTTCCGAATCGTTCTCTCCAAAAAAATGATGATTTATCTTTTTTTATATTACTGTGCACATTTTGTTTAAAAGTTGAAACGGTTTAATATCCCATTTAAACTATTGATTTTGGTGATATAATGTCTAATCAATCGTCACTTTTATAAAACAGTTTTAATTTTCAAGAAAGATATGTGAACTTTTTAATAACTATAATGTTAATATATTTATTATTTCTAAATAATATCGCATTTGTAAATAATATACACTACACAATAAATTTTAAAGCAAAAATACTGACCTGACTTGACCTGACCTGAGCTGAGCTGATCTAAGCTGATTTGATCTGACCTGACCTGACCTCACCCGACCTGATCTGATCTGACCTAACTTGATGTAAGTTTGGTTTACGACAAAATATTTTTACAACGAATGTAAATTTGTTATGCAAATAGTGAGCACAATAAACGTTATTATTAATATCACCATTGTTTGGAAACTCTAAATATACTAATTCTATTTTGGACGTTTTATTAACAATTCTAACTTTTGCAGACTCTTCTTCCTCTCCTGTTGTCCACCAAGCCGACGACGACAGCGACATGTACCTAGAACAAGAATCCCGTGTGGAAGAAACAGATGATCGTCAACCCAGCCAACAAACATTCTACCCATCATTCTCACCTTTCCACAATCCACCGCTAGGCCACTCTCGACCCTTCTTGTTCCAACAAGAAGGCGCATACAGCCAGCGACCTCACGGAGGCTACCAGCACCAACAACTCTCCTACGATGCACCCAGATTCAGTGGGTACAAGGAAACAGGATATCGAGCGGCAGCTAACGCGGAATCTCGTGGTCTTCTCGGTTCAGGGAATTTTGGGGTGATTCGAGGTGGTACCTTCTACGACAAAGACGCCCAGCCTTCAAACTACGAACAGGATTACAGTCCTTTCTTCAGGAATGGTCACGGCAGGCCGTCTTATTTAGGAGGAGTGCCAAACCCGAGGCCTTATCAGCACGAACAGTTTGAGAATTTTAGAGATTTCGCCGACATTAACACACCTTCCAATCCAGCATATTCCCAGTATGTTGTGGTTTATGTTAACAAGAATGGCACCAAGCAGCGCGAGAGTGAAGCGGTGTTGAAGAAGAGGCCGAAGAATATTATAGAGAGTCTGGCGCTTCTGGATGTGGAGAGTACGACCGAAGTACCGCAGAAGAAGTTGTCGAAGTCAAAGGCAAAGCTCGCGAAGATGTTGCCTGAAAAAAAGTATATGTATAAGAAGAGTCGGAAGGATTCGAAGGTTTCGAGGGAATTGCGTGAACCGCTGCTAGCGCTGAGTTAAGGGGTGATAAAGAGAAAAGATTTATTTTGTGAGTCCTGTGTTATTTAAGTGGTTTGAATGCAGGGGATTAGTACCTGACAAGAGTGCTGTCTGTATTGACTAGAGTTGAGTACGTGTCAAGCAAATTTTAATTTTAAACTCAACAGTATTATTAATACGTCTCGTCGTTTACTGCTAATTTAATTTTAATCAGTTGTATCTAATGGTGGGTTTACGCAAGCAAAGTAAACTTAATTTAGTGCTATTTTAATGAAGATTCATCTCCTATTTTTAGTTGTACTACAAGGAATTGACCGTGGACGGTGTTAATATAAATACTAGCAATAAATTTGTTGATGAAGTGTAATTGACGTAAAAGTGTTGTAAGTTATATTAAATATTATTTCGTTGCTGCATAAACTCACCTTGATGTAAGCCTATAGAATAGCTAGGTTACCTTAAATACGTAAATGACTGATGTTACGTTATGCTTTATGTCATATTGATAGTAAGCCAGAAGTTTTAGTTACCGTTTGGACAGTGAAATAGAATTATATTATTCAGTAAGTTTATTCTGACTATTTTGTATTTAAATAATATGAAAATGTGAATAAATATTATTTTTTGTAAATAAGCCCTGATATCTTTACTGTAGCTACTTTTATAGTGAACCAAGAGTTATAAGGTTATATGGCCATCATAAAATCATCCCATTGTGTCGAAGTTAAGTTGTTTACAATAGAAAAGGTTTTAGGGTCGTAAATAACGTGTCCACTGCAGCTCGACCGGGTCTTGTGGTTTCGTTCAGGGGCGGCTTTCACTAAATATGAAAATCCACCACTCCACTATATCTTTAGTACCTGTAGCCGCTGAGGGTTCCGAAATAACCACTCGCTTTGAAAGCCGGCCCTGTTAAATATGAGCAAGAAATGTTTAGAAGATGATTTATTGCCAACCGGTAAGCTTAGTGCGAACCACACAAAGGGGGTATTTATTTGCGGTCAACTACTTTTATGATGGCCATATAACCTTATACCTCTTGGTTCACTATAAATTGTATTGTGTGTATCGGTTTTAAGATATTTTGTGATTTTAAAACATTGTTTATGGTAGTAATATTCCAACACTCCCAATTTTCACTCTTTGTTTATCATCAGTAACAATAGTAATTGTCAAAATTATAAAATGTCACCTACTAGTGCCTTTATGTTTTGGTTTTTCAACAAATAGGTAATTGATTGTCACGTTTTAACACAATGGAGTTTCAAGCTATGTCCAAAAATGTTGTTAACTTTTATTTGTATCTCTAAAGGATGCTAAAGAGTTAAGTTAAGGCAAAGCATCCTAACTGCAAAATCTGTGTACAATTAATTATCACACTTTAAATTATGTGTGAATAAATATCACCTTATGAAATGATCGTATAATCGAAAACTTTCCGAGTTACAAAATAGATCAAGACAAACGTTAATTTGCCAATGTTGTTACATGAGTCTTAAACATGTTTATCTGATGGATTAGACCGATATGTTGAATCTATGACGTGAGGATTGGTTAAATTTGATGCATATTATTGATATGGGTCTCGAAGAATTGCAGTTGAATGAATAAGCAGAAAACGTTTTAGTGTCTGCTATTTGGATGCCACAAACTTACCCAAATTAGACTCTTTAGTTTTAAAAGTAACAATCTGTAATAAAAAAATTGGTCTCATGTTATTACACAGTTTTTTAGAAAAGAAAAAGATCATTTAAAAAAAACAAGACGGATTCATAAACTATAAGTACAGTTTAAAGTAAGAAGTTGTCAAAATTCAGAATTAAAATCACTTGAACATTTTATTTTACCATAGATTTTTTTTCAAAAGGCAGAGTACATTTATTACTGCGTTAGCGCGAAATCAATATAATATCCTAGATTAATTTGAAAGAATCCTTGTGAAGTTGCGTCACTTTTCAGTCGGTAAAAATGGACTCTGCGGCAGTTTCAAGCAGTCGAGCTCTTACAAAGCGACAGAAATCCTGTTGAGAACCGTAAGTTGTTGAGCTAGCTTCCACTAGATGGCGCATGCATATATTTTTATTTGTGTCATGTGTAATTAAATCTAAAAATACGCAACAAATGATTATGTATTTAGTCTAATTATCGTCCGTTACTTGAATCGGTAAGTTCTTTTTTGCATTTTTAAAATTTGTTGTATTAACTAATCAAGATTTACTTTTTTTTATTTAATCGTATTGACTTGGTAAGCCTCCACAATAGGCAGCCATTGGTTTCGCACAAGAACAATAAAATGCAGAAATTATAAATAGTTAACTTTATTACCATACTAAATAGCTGGATTTACGGAATTTTCCGTTTATTCGTTTTACAGTTTCATATAGAATCAAATCTTTGAAATCACGTTTGCTTGCATATAATTTTGTTAAAATAAAAACAACATACCAGTTCATTCCTGTATTATTGTAAAGAAAAATCTTTGTTAAGACTTTCAACAAATTTTGTTTGGGAATTTCCATAATAACTTACGGGTTGGTATAATTAGTGGACAAATAATTTTATAATAGATGTGACTATAAAAAGTGGTCAAAAAGTATTTGTCATCTGTTCGAGAAAAAAATTCGTCTAGCAAGAATTGAAATTTAACGTTGGCAACACTAACGCGTTACTTGTTTGGATTGACAGCTACCGTCAAACAACTGTCAAATGAAGGGTCAAGCAGTTGCACTGCCAGCATCGTTATTTAAAAATAAACTTCATGACCTACTGGACCATATTGGACAAGATGTAGCTAAAATTGAAGTTGGGGTACTTTGGTTGTTTTGAAATAACTTTAAAATAAGCAAGGTTATGAGTTTTCCAATATTACAAAGCAAACTGTTTTTAAAAACTTCTATTGTGAAATTATTTTCAGTTTTACAATGAGTGCTTATAATCTGAAAAGTAGAAAAAATGGTACTGCTATTTGATACTAAATTCAGTAGTTTATAAATCTGAAAGTAGGTACTTGCATCTCTGGGTGTATTTAATAGTTGTTGTCAAATTGTGAGGAAAATAAATATATTATATTAAATGTGTCGAATGTGACACTAATTATACAAATACAAAAAAAAAACTTGTGTGTGTTTCTGAAGAACAAGCACTGCAATATTTTAGACGGTACTTTTCAACATAATTTTTATAATGATTTGATTAAAATTTTCGGAAGGGACAGATGAAAATAATTTAGTTAATAGGTTGTAATCTTTAATTTACTCTCTCCAATGTCTCAACAAAATCTCTGAAGAGTCGGTCATATAGTTTTTGTAAATTAATTTGCATACGAAGCCCTAGACAGGCGATAAAACGAAACTATATATTTTTCTGATTTCAAGAATAATTATTGTTTCTTTCTATCTTTTAAATAATCTTTAATGATACGTTATTGTCTTTTAAATTTCATGTTTTCTTATCCAGTCTAGTATGTTACAAAAAATATTTTCGCCCTATCTCATTGCTTTGTAGCTTCTCGAATGTATTTGAGTCCACCCTTCATAATATTCGTCGACGTAATCTACACGGGTTTTTCGAAAGCTTTCGACAATTTCTTGCTGGTGAAGCTGCACAACTTTGGCTTATCAGGTCATCTAGTTCAGTTAATTAATTCTTATTTTTGTCATCAAGAGTTCAGTATACTTAAGTATTTAATCATCACGGTCATATTCTTCCATAAATTCTCTATAACCTGAGCGTTCCCCCAGGTTTTATTTTGGGCCCTCTACTTTTTGTGGTTTGTAGTAACGACATTATAAAAAAAATAAATCTAAAGGGGCGATGGTAGCTAACGACTGTATTTATGACATCAGTGATTTATGTAAATGCTTAAGAATTATCTACGACGTCATATTATTTTTTTCTGTATTGGAAACATAATCACAGAAGCTCTAAAAAATCTGGGCTTTGTAATTAGATTTTGTAGTTGCTTTAATGATATTACCATACTTCTTCTGTTTTTTGTTAGATATGTATATGCTAGAATACGTAAGCATAGAAATGTTTTTGAATGTTTTAACATACAAGATTGAACTATTGAGTCCGATTTTTTTTACAAAGATTTGGCTTTAATGATCTAAAATTTAGTCCTGTTAAAGCTTAATCATTGTTTGTTAAAAAAATATTCACATATTCGAGCGTAAGCTAAGAATGACCTCTATAGTATGAAAAAGTACGTCTCCCGTTTCCGTCTGTCTCTCGTTCGTACTGATTTTTATTGGATAGATAATCTCCGGAACTACCAGACCGATTGTTATCAAATTTTAGATGTATGTTAGAAATATTGCATGTATGCCATATAAATTTTATAAAATAACATATTCCTACGTTTATGGTTTATGCATTTGCCTTGAGTTTGTTTGTTATTAGTCGTAAAGTTGATCTTTAAATAGATAGTACTAAGCGTAAAAAACATGGGCCCCGGCTCAGTGGCAAGCGAATTACCTGCATCTGAACGGTCCTGGATTCGATCTCCAGTTTATCCACTTTTTTTTCTTACACTGTGACTGGTTTACTTGTACTTTAGCAGACCATTAAATGTAAGGGTTAGGTCCGTTTAAATTATAAGGGTTATTTTAATTTTATAATTGTTTCCAACAAGCTGAATTCGTTGGATTGTATGTTCTTAAGGCGGTGTAAATAACCTTTTTTTTTAGTAGTTACAAAATGGCAAGAAATATTTTTTGTATTCAAAAACAAGCAGAAACAATTGTAAATGGTGACCGTCGGCCGTCTCCGCTTCCTGTTCTGAGTTTATGGTTTCTTAGAATAATGCGTTTGTATCAATGCACCATCGAGTCCGCAATACCAGAGAGGCCGTTGACAATACCCTGTTTTCTTTGATATTTCGCTGTGTATGTATAGTTGTTGTAAGTGATAATTTGCAAATAATCGTCAATTGTTTGTTGTATGTTTAAGGTGGTATGAAATATCAAAGACGGTTTTGAAATTGTATTTCTGGTTGGGTCTTGAATTTTTAGAGTCGAAGTTTCTAGTGGATAACCTCTATATTTATCACATTCAATGGCCAAGATGAACGTATGTTATTCAATTTTAATTTTTTTCCAAAAATTAGGATGTCTAGAGTAAAAATTCAAGACGGATTCATAAACCACAAGTGTAGGAGTATCTTCTTTTATAAAATTTAAATATTATTACTATTGTAAATTTTGGACATGGCGTCATCTCATTGTTGATGGGAACCATTAGAAAATTGTTGATTAGCCTTTTACCATCTACACGATATTCCGAACTTAAGGTACATATAAAATTTGACGATCCATTCAGTAGCTTCGTGTCTGTCTATTAAGAATTGACACAGGATACTCGGTGGACAGACAGGCGGAAACAGGAGACCCACTTTTCCGTAGTCTAGAAAACCTGAAACCAGCGATTCATCGAATGGATCCTTTTTCTAAACCAAAAATAAAACTACAATAAATATTTTGTATAATTTTTATAATTTTATTCAAACAAGAAAAGTAGCGCATAATTCTTCCGCGCATCTAACTGGAAATGTCCAGATTTAGCATTAAATCCTAGAATGGAAGGTGCGACAGCCGAGTTGCGGTTCAAATGTAAAAGCCTACACTGGCCACTGTTTATGGCGACCATCGGTCACATTACGGGTAGCGACGTTAAAGGGGTCTAGGGAAATAGCCCTCTACAGCAACTCCACTTCGCGTCGTCCAGTAACTTTCTTGCTCATCCCTAAAACATATATTCTAATACTAAATTAAACATCAGGCGAGCAACATAATTTGTCGAGTCATTCTTGGAAACGATTCCGTACGCCACTGATAAATATCAAAAAATAACAAACGTAAAAGAAAAAGTGGCGGACAATTTGTAATAAAATTTTTAATAAAATCAGTGTGAATTTACACGGAAAATGTGTACAACATAAATTAATTTTCTTAATTAAATTAAATTAAATTAAATTACAGTAAGCATTTAGTTGAACGTTTCGTTTAAATTCATCGATCACTTAATTTCTGCTGTTATTCTCAACCTTAATTCCTCCAAATTGTTGGCAGGTATTCGATAAATAGCGTTCTTTAAATAGGGTCATAAAAAAGTCTGCATGAGTAAGATCACAAGATCTCGGCGACCAGATATTTTCTGAATGATGTAAAGATTCGGCTGTTAAAACTTGCTATTGTGGTCCTAGTTGAATGGGCTGTAGTCCATTTCATCATCGTCAAATGGTATAAAGTTTGTCAAAAAAGACGCTATCCTACTATCCGTCGTTGACTAATTGCGGCCCAAACACCAATTTAAACATGCGGATTTTCGATGCTCTATATTGTTATAATGTGAGAATTAATCTAGCCGCTCAAATGAAACCTGGTTTTGTTTGTAAAAAAGGTTTTCTTCAACAGCCGGTCAAATGGGTCCAAAGATTAGTCAACTCTTGCGGGAAAACAGGCTAAATGTCGTATGGATCTTGTAGGGGGTTTACTCCATTATCTGTCTAACATTTTCAATATTTTGTGGAATTTTTTTATCTTTCGACCTGCCACTTCTCTCCTTTATTTGTACTATTTGTAGAGACGAAGTTTCTCAGAACTTTGTCACACATCATTGTAATGAGTTGCAAAAATGGGCATAATCGATATATTGTTGGGAAATTATTCCCTGAATTCATCCCAAGCCGTTTGAATCGAGCACTGTCACACTGTTCCAATGGAAATATTACTTTTAAGTGAATGCACAAATAAATTTCTGAAAAGAATTATTTTTAATGTAAAGATGTAAGATTGGATGGCAGTCGTTAAACTCACAGTGAGATTGATTAATAAATTCACGTAAAATTTAAGTCATTGTTAAAAATCTGTTTCTATTTACATATTCATATCAGGTTTACAAAATTATCGATAATTAAAATTAATTTTGTTAAAAAATTTCTAAGACGTAACCTGAGACACAGCATATCATTTCAGAGAAGACATGCGGCTTGAATTCCAAGGATAACTCAATTATAAATTATGTTAATCGCCTGCTACAAACTTTGGAAAATAAACTAGCTGCAAATTTTTAAAAACACCAAAAATCTTTAATGAAAACCGTGTTAAATTCAGGTGCAACACAAGTTTGATATTCGTACGATGTTAGTAGTCTTGGTTTCCGAGA